GGAAAGTTACACAGGCCGGAAGTGTGAGGAAAAAAAAAAACTTTTAGAGTAGAACTTATGGTTACATCTAGTAATAGTTAATTGATAAGACCTAGTTGACAATCGAGTAGTACACTTAAATTCATGCACTTAAGATACTAAGAAGGAGAACAATTGCCATGAAAATAGGGTTTAACATCATATATATATATATATATATGATGTTAAACATTATTTTTATTGGATACCTATATTTGAGTAGATGTTTATTTTTTCAAAAAGTATGTTTATTTTCATTTATGACCTGAATATTCATGGAATCTTATTAAAGAAAAAAATGTGCCCTTGGGCAGGATTCAAACATACATCCCCCCCTTTGCAGGAGAAACCATCATTAGATCTCTGTTTAAAAAGCAGGATAGAATGTTGCTTAATTGATGATGCTCTTCATGGCTGAGTCAGTTAAAAGTGCATCAGGTCTAATGATTCTCCTGCAAAGTGGGGTTGGGGTATAGGTTTGAATCCTGCTTGAGAGCACATTTTCTTTTTCTTTGAAAAAACATGGAAACAGCTGTGCTAGCAGTAATTTTGCTCAACACTACGAGTTTCAACGAAGCCAAAACCCCCGAACTTGTTCAGAGATAACTAAATTGTCAGCTGTAAACAAATCTATGATTAAAAATGGTTTTGAATTAGTAGGGCATGTAAGGATTTTTTTTTTTTTTTTTTTTTTTTCAGGGAAATTTTGTCCACTTCTCTCAGATTATTATTTTTTTATCTGAAATTTAAACAAATCAATTTCTAAAGATTTTATGGATTTATTTTAATCCAACATTCTTTTTAAATTTAAAAATGTCAGATTAAAAATAAAAACATTAATATATATATATATATATATATATATATATATATATATATATATATATATATATATATATATAATCATTTAAAAAAAATATGACTCCTTCGCTACATAAGAGTTCTCATGTTTCAAAAACGAGAGCCGAAACCCTCAATATAATTATTAAAATTAAATTGAATTAATGTATCAAGCCCTGTTTCATCCTCAAGTGAAAATTTAGGAATAACCAATCTTGAAATTTTTGGCTCTCGTTTTTGAAACATGAGAACTCTTATGTAGCGAAGGAATCATATTTTTTTAAAAATAATTATAATTTAAGCTCTACTTCTGTATGGAGCACTGTTTTTTTAAAACAAAAAATACTAAAGAACTCCAGATTATTTTCCTAACGTGTTCTTTCCTATTTTTCTACATACCTACACACACACACATACATATATATATATATATATATATATATATCTATATATATATATACACACAAACCGATTCTTACAATTATAAAAGCTTAGCAAACCGGTTGTTGGAATATCTGAAAATAATCTTATATATTAATAGCTGATATATAATGACTAAAAATATAATTAATAATACTATTGCTGTAAGTTCTGCAGAGACTGAGGGTTTTTTGTGATAAACATAATTTATTCTGACAAAAGAAATTGTCTTGAAGTTAAAAAAAAAAAATAAAACTGGCAAATCTTCTATTCATAAATTTTGTAGGTCTTTCATTGAATCTTTGGGACGACTGTAACAATTTAGTTGAAAAGTGGCTAAGAAACCATAACACAGCTGATAACATTTGAGTCAAAAAGCATCATACTTCCAAACAGAAATTTCAGTCTGGAAATATCTTAATAAATAAACATTTCTCTATTAAGTTATCGAAATGGTTTAATTCTTTCTTATACTATAAAGTGATTTGTTTCCATTTCTCACATTGAAAATAAGCAGAATATGTTCCTAAAGATGACCTGCCTTTATAGAACCAGTTCCTGGAAACTTAGATTGACACCACTATATATATCAATGTCTTAAATCAAAATCACTGACTCGAGCAAGCATTATTCATGATCTTTTGTTTGCTGATGATGTTGCGATCATGGCCACCTCAATCGAAGAAGCTCAAGCCCAATTGTTTTTCCACCGTTTTTTCATTTGGATTAACTATAAGCATAAAGAAAACTCAAGTTGTCCATCAACCAAGGCCTACACCTAAGCAGGTCAAGGGTGTAAATCAAAAATCACCTGCCTATGCCTTTCCAATCGTTCCCATTACTGTTGGCAGCAATAACCTGAAGTATGTGAAATCATTCTCGTACTTAGGAAGCAAAGTCAATTCAAGTGCATCTTTGGATGACGAGATAGTTAACTAAATATCAAAGGCAACCAATGCCTTTGGGAATCTTAAGCATCGCCTATGGGATGTTCATGTGATTTCACTGAAAATGAAAACCAGTGTCTATCGAGCAGTCATTCTCACCACACTTCAATTATGGGTCAGAATCATGGATGCTATACAGGACACACATCAATCAACTTGATGCTTTTCATAAATGCTGTCTTCATTCAATATGCAGTTATATGTGGCAGGACAAAATCTCTAACCCTGATCTTTTCATCAAATGTGGTGTTGGTGGTACTGAATCCTTTCTAATG